AAACAAACAAACAAACAGGTACTGGTCCTCTATACAGTCTGTAAACAAACATAAACAAACAGGTACTGGTCCTCTATACAGTCTGTAAACAAACAAACAAACAAACATAAACAAACAGGTACTGGTCCTCTATACAGTCTGTAAACAAACAAACTAACAAACATAAACAAACAGGTACTGGTCCTCTATACAGTCTGTAAACAAACAAACAAACAAACATAAACAAACAGGTACTGGTCCTCTATACAGTCTGTAAACAAACAAACTAACAAACATAAACAAACAGGTACTGGTCCTCTATACAGTCTGTAAACAAACAAACAAACAAACATAAACAAACAGGTACTGGTCCTCTATACAGTCTGTAAACAAACAAACTAACAAACATAAACAAACAGGTACTGGTCCTCTATACAGTCTGTAAACAAACAAACAAACAAACAGAAACCGTTGGAGTCGGCGGTAATGACAGCCGGTTCCTCCAATCAGAGGTCACTAAAATTAATGTTGCTTCGGTGTGTGACTTTATAAAACCATGTGGGACTCCGTAGTTTTCTCCGGCCCCCTCCCCAACCTGACCAGCGATGACATATTTAGCCGTATGTCGTTGTTTAACCGCTGGGTGTCCAGGTGGTGTTCTGACAACGACGTGGGCTACAAAGATACCTGGAGTTCTTTCTGGGGAAAACCTGGTCTGATGCGGAGAGATGCATCCATCCTACTTTGGACGGAGCCGCTCTTCTTTCTAGAAATATGGATGATTTTGTTGATCCCCAAATTATTGATTATTACACCCCTCTCTGCTGCTTCTCCTCTGTACACCACCCACACCCACATTGAAACAGTGTCAACTCGCCCACGGCTCAAATTAAATAAACCAAAAATCAACTCTAAAAATAGAGACTGCATCGAAGCCAAGATTCATCTTGTCTGCTGGATTCTTAGACAGAGAACTTTACTAACTGGCTTTTACTGTGATTTGGAGCTTTATAAATAAAGTGAATTGAATTAAACTAACAGGTTCTGGTCCTCTGACCCCAGTCCGGATCAGGAGTTAGCGTTAGCATTGTTTACAGGATGTAAGCGGTCTTTACCGAGGCTCCTGAAGCCTCGGGCCATGGGCAGCAGCCGGCCCCAGGGTTGTGGTTCTGGTTCTTCTGGGACAGATGGTAGCGTCACTGGGATGGTGTCCACGCTGCTCAACGTCCCAGAACCACTGGATGACTGACTGGCTGAGGTCGGCACGCTGGACGAGCTGGAACCAGGCTGGGACTGGGACCTGGCCTGAGAGGGGGACAGGGTGGACTGGGCTTGGGACTGGGAGGACTCTCCTTCCGGTGGAGTCTCTGCAGACATGTCGAAGTCTGTGGACGCACCAGAGGTCAGGTTCCATTACTAAATCTCATAAACCCAGATTTTATTCACAATGGAACATGATAAACAAATCAAATGTTTCAACTTAAAAGTGTACCGTTTGTAAAAAGACCATTTCGAAGGCGGCACCGCTGCTGTATAATCTCATAAACGATCATTTAAACATTAACAATCTTTCTTTCACTCGTTCAAACGCTACTTGTTACTAACATTTACTGGTATGGTCCAATAATGCATCTATAATTGTTAGTAACATCAGTCAGTGGGTTCTGCAGAGCGTGGTTCTACCAGGACCCAGAGCTCCACCAAATCTAACTTAAACCAGTTCAACTGAACAACATGTTGTTTACCTGTCAACAAAAACAAGGTGGGAACTGCATTTTAAGCATGCTCGACACGTGACATGGGTCATTCTTAATTCGGCAGAAACTCGACCATGAAGTGAGTAGTTTTGGACCGGGACCGGAACCAGTGCGAAGAAAAAAACTAAGAACCAGAAGGAGCCGACCCGGTTAAACATCCGGGTCTGCTCCCGCTCAAAGACCGGACAGAACCGAGCTGGACCGAACTAACTGCACCAACGTAAGGTGCAGACTCACCGGTCGGACCGGTTCTCCTCCGGTTCTTTGCAGGTCCAAAACAAACCAACACAACTCGCCGAACGTGGCACGTGCGTTACTATTTCGCCGGGAAAAGTATTTCCTAGTTTTCTAAGCGTCACGTGACAGAGCCAGCCAATGACAAGTTAGGGTGTGGTCACGTGGGTCAGAAGCTAGCGGTGTTTTTCCGGTCTGGTTTTGTTCGTTAGAGGAAGGACGGCGGGACCACATAATCGATACCATGATGAACGAGGAACCGAGATCTGAGACCCGTCGCTGACATCCGAACCGGGTCAGAGCGTCATGTCCAAACAGAGAGGCGGTAAGACCCTGATCATCACCGATGGTGAGTCCAGTTCGACTCAGGAGGAGGTCGGTTCTGGTTCTGCTTTAGTGGTTCCGAGTCCGTTTGGGTTTCTCTTGTCAACATTTGGGTCAGCATCTTGTTTTTACTGTTCAAACATCAGTAATGGACAGAACATGGATCGGGTTTTGTGTTCGGATCTTGGATCCACACCAGGTTCGGTTCTGTGCTCCGGACCGGCTCTTAACATCTCCTTGTGTGTCCAGATGAGGAGGAGGAGGAGCAGGCAGAGGAGCTGAACCCATTCTCCTTCAAAGAGTTTTTGCGCTGGAAGAACACGGACCAGAATCAGAACCAGGACCAACCAACCAAGAAGGTAGGGAGGACCAGGATCTGCAGCACCAGAAGAGCTGTGTCACATCTGCAGTAACATCTGTCTGCTCCTGTCTCAGACCGGTTTAGAAGACAGCAGCTGCTTCCTGTCAGAGGCTGACCTGGCAGCACAGGTAGTGTGACGTCATCACCACCCTGTAGGTCCACCTGCTGCTCACAGCTGGTAGTACAGGTGTGATCCACATCTGTATCTGCTGTCTGTTTAAGGAGGAGGAAGAGTGGGGGCGGAGCTTCCAGTCAGGCGTTGACAGCACCTCCTCCCTCTGCACTGAGGAGGAGGAAGGTGTAGAGGAGGAAGAGGAGACCAGGTGAGTCCCGTGCATACAGATAGAAGGTTCTGACTTTGCCCCACTTCAGAACCTGGACTTGGTCCCTAAAACTAAATCTAAATTAGAACTACAGATGTTACAGGTGTTGATGTTACAGGTGTTGTTTAAATCAGTGGTTCTCAATCTGGGGACCCCGGACCCCCGGGGGTCCGCGAACCAGTGCTTTGCGGTCCGCAAAAAAAATAAAAATAAAAAATGTTATCAAGCAGGTAGATGTTCAACAACCTGTTAAAATACACCAAAATGCAGGAAATCACATTTTTATTTGGTACGACTGCTGAGGACGATGCATGCTCATCAACATGCTGCAGTTAGCATCAATGTAAACATGTTGCAGTTAGCATCAATGTAAACATGTTGCAGTTAGCATCAATGTAAACACGTCAGTAGTTAGCATCAATGTAAACATGTTGCAGTTAGCATCAATGTAAACATGTTGCAGTTAGC